GGAGAGTCACAGACTTAGTAACATCATTGAATCAATAGTAACACCATTTAATTATATAAATAACACTATCAACTGCCTTCTCCAAACTTCTTTTTATGTGAGAAAAATAAACTCATATCCTAGCTTTCACGGTGAAATTCGAACTTTTGTCCATATTTTGGTGACCACTTTGGAATCTCTTTCTTGGTTCACCAACTTACGACCTCCCACTCTGCCTCTCTCCCTAACCCCCCGCTGAAATTCTCACTCTGACACTGACCTTTTTACTCAGCATATGTCCTTGCCTCCAGTGATACCTGACGTTCCACGCTAAGTCAACTCATCCTTTTCACTTACCTCTCCACTGAGGACTGGACATTGTCAGTACAGCCTAGATTCTTATGACTTTGTCCTAAATGAGTGACATAGTTTCATGGTCTACTTGGTCACCCTGCTTTCAGTCTCTTCCAATTGTATTCTATAGCAGATACTACCACCAAATATATATATACATATATATGTGTGTGTGTGTATATATAAAAAACATAGATATGTATTTAATAATTATTATTTTGAGCCCGAGTCTCTGTCTGTTGCTCTGTTGCCCAGGCTGGAGTGCAATGGTGCTATCTTGGCTCACTGCAACCTCTGCCTGCCAGGTTCAAGTGATTCTCCTGCCTCAGCCTCCCAAGCAGCTGGTATTATAGGCACTCACCACCATGCCTGGCTACTCTTTGTATTTTTAGTAGAGCTGGGGTTTCACTATGATGGCCAGACTGGTCTTGAACTCCTGACCTCCAGTGATCCGCCCACCTCAGCCTTCCAAAGTGCTGGGATTACAGGTGTGAGCCACTGTGTCTGACCTCAAAAATATTTTTATAAGGAACATTTGGTCATCAGCACAGATAGTCTCAAAAGAAGATAAGCACAGATTACTCAAAATTCTCAATGGCTCTCTAATGCCTATCACACTAGACATTCAAAATGCTCCATAATATAACTTCAATCCAAAATTTTCAGTCTATATGACACAATATTTTACTTAACCTATTTATTGGTAAATGGAATATTATTTTTTAGGGTCCTTTTTAAAACTTTTAAATTGACAAATGCAAATTATATATACATATATTTGTGATATATATATATTGTTTTGAAATATGTATACATCATGAGATGGCTATGATGGCTGTATCAGGCTAATTAACATTTGTATTACCTCATATCCTTATCTTTTTTGGTGAGAACACAATGTACTCTCAGCAAATTTCAAGAATACAATATATTGTTATTAACTGTGGTCACATTGCTGTACAGTAGAACTCTATTCCTCTTATGTAACTGGAAGTTTGTATCCTTTGACCAACATCTCCCAAAACCCCTCCCCACCAGCCATGGGTCACCAGCATTAAATGCTCTACTTCTACGTATTCAACTTTTAAAAATTCCACATGTAAGTGAGATCATGCGGTTATGTATCTTTCTGTGCCAGCGTTATTTCACTTAACATAACGTCCTTCAGGTTCATCCATGCTGTTGCAAACGAAAAGATTCCCTTCTTTTTAAGGTTAAATAGTATTCCATTGTGTATACCACATTTTTTTAAAAACACAAATGGAATATTATTGTTCCTTAACTAAATCCTGCCATTTTCTACTTGGATCATATTGTTTATACTATTTCCTCTTCCTGGAATATGTAATGTCTTGCTCTTCAGCGTATCCTCTAAAGATTACCCATTTATCAAATTCTAGCTCAAGTGTCACCTCTTCCACAGTTGCCAGCACTCATTTAAAATGAAATAATTTTCACTTTTCTAGCACCTCTTGGTATATCTATTTGAGGCATATAACATAACCACACAGTTTTCTTACTCAGGTACCCATGAAATTATCAGCTTCTTGAGGGCCATAATGATATAACAGTATTTTATTCATACATTCAACAAATGTCTATTGGATATTCACTATTCTATGTGAAGGTGGTATGAACAAGATAGAGAAGAACCTTGTTTTTATGGAATATAGGATCGAAGGAGGGAGGGGGGCATATTTTATAGATAAAGAGCAAGTAAATACATAAACAAGATAGAATAATCTCTGCTTTAGATTGAGTAGTTAAAGAAGTTCTCTCAGAGGAGGTGATGTTTGATATGAAGTTTCAAGAATAAGAAGAACCCAATCACAAGAAGACCACAAGAAGATCAGGCAAATGGAAAGCTGTTGAGTTGGGTGAAAGTGCAGTGGAGGACAGTTTGGTCGAGTGTCGTAGGTGGAAGGGAGACTAGTGTGAGATGAGCTGGTGGGAATGGGCAAGAACTAAGCACAGCAGGTTGGATTTCATTCTAAAGTTTTACACAGGAGTAACATGATCTAATTTACAAGTCAAGTGATCTCTCTGCCTGCTGTGTAGAAAATGGATTATACAGGGTTAAGAGTGGAAATAGAAAGATTAATTGGAAAGCCACTGAAGTAATCAAGAACATGAAAGTAAGTCAAATTTGGTAGTTAGTAAAAAGAGAGATAAGTGGACACATTTATTGTGTCTATAGTATTAAGCCCAGTATCTTAAAGATGGTAGCTGCTCAATATATACTGCTGAATATATGTCCAAGTACTTAAAAATAGTCTCACATTCTTAATTTCTATATGATCTTCAAGTTTTTCCTGCTTTGATTTACCTCTTATGGCTTAATTTATTCCCACTGGATACTTGGGGAGTCAAAGAGATAAAACTTCCAAATATTCAAGAAAATGATAAAGGTCTCATAATGGAAATTCACCTGACAAAGAGCTGACATGATGGAGTTTGGAGTTCATATTGTTAATTGTGGGAAGAAATAAACTATTGGAAACAAATGGTAAAAAGCGTAATTCAAAATCTGCAACAGGATGAAAATGGACAGGGTATTGGAATACAAACTCTAGATTTAAAAAAAGAGAGCCTTTGGTCATTATCAGCAAGAATACAGTGCCTAAACAGAGAATGTGGGTAAAATTAATTTTCATTAAAATTGGAGATGTTTCAACTCTTTCTTTTGATGTTTTTTGAAATATAGAACCTTCATCTTACTATCTTGATATGATCAATTTCCTAATATGTAGTTAATACTATCTTACTAGATAGTAATGTTTATAAAATTCTAAGAGCGCTGAATGAGACCTGCTTGGAATCTGAGAAAAGACAGGTGAGTCAGTGGGTTTTCATTCTCTTTCGCCTCTACCTTCCAGGACATTTAGATTTGTACCCATGAAGATTCATGATGTATTAGGAATCCAATCCAAATTCCTTAAATACAAAGCAAAATACAGAGGAAAATGAGATCACTTTTTGCCACTTTCCACCTGAAATGCTACATGGGCTCTGAATTGAGTGACACTTGGCCCCATTCAGTGTGAAAACTGGCTGAAATCTGTATGAAAGGCAGTCTGGGTTTGTCGAAGTAGTTCATGAACTTTGGCCAAACTTTCAAGGAACCTGGTCCAAGTCTTAGTTTGTAATGCAACATGAAACCAGGTGAATTTCAGATGGTTTCAGGTTTCATCCTGAAAATTTGGCCTAGCTTTATAATCAATCATCACTCTTTGTAACGATGAAAGCCAACACACCTTTTTGAAAATGAGGACTGCATGCATACTGATGACAGCTAAGTTGTGAACCACCCTTCACTTCCTTTGCCAAAAGAAGATTTCTCAGAATGGAAACAGTTTCCCTCTTACCTGGAAAGGGGAAGTTGAGTGATTTTGATATGGTGTGTAGAAAGAAATGATACTTGATATGAAGAGACATGTCATGTGAAATAATCACCACATATGGAGCAAATGGCTGTATTCTAATCACTTAAGGTTATAAGAGTCTTATTTTCTTCACATCCATGACAGTGGATAACGTGGTGTTTAATCTCCTATAATGAGCTTTTGGCGTGAAGCTAGTCATCAGCCAGAGTAACTGCCATGAGAAACAAAATGCTGTGAAGCATAACCAGTATTTCTATATGAAGAAGTGGCTGAAGAACAAAAGGGAAAGTATAACAAATCAGAGCATAACTGTTATCTAGTTTAAGAAACATGAGGAGATAATGCAACTACAAACCTTTCAAGTTTGCATCAACTGCATCTTTTGCAAAAATATCTCTATGCAGTATAAATGCATTTAATAAGCAACCAAGCACAGTGAATTTTACAGAAAGACCTACATAGTTTCTGTTTTCAACCTGAAAGTTTTAAATAAGCCTTTCCGCTGTAAAAAATTACTCTATTCAACTAAATACTTGCTTTTGTGCATAGTGACATGAGAAAATTGAGAGGTATGTTGAATGGAGCCACTACATCATTGAAACAGTATGTCTGAACATTTGGGTAATAAGGCACAGATGTGAAGTAGAGGACTTGGCACTACCAAGGTAACAACAAAGCATTCACCATTGTGTTATAATGGCTAAAAGGGCCACATCTGAGAAGCTTAAAAGAATGCTCCCTCCTCCCTGCAGTGCTAAATTGTATTACACCTTTTATGTGCTTAAAAATCTACAAAAGCTAGAAATTCAAACAAGTATTATGCAAACTTATGGCAAAGAACAAATATGTAAAATGCATTGATAATTTTATCTGCAAAAAAAAAAAACATTTATGCAATAGCACGTAAAGTTTAACTGCAGCAAAAGGCCAAATTCAATAGAAATCCATATGGCCTCTATGTTGCGAAACAATTCATGCAAATCTGAAGGACTCAACAGTCACTGGCAAGGTGGCTGCTATTGACTCTTAGATGTGATTCTGGCCCTTAGTCAGTATGTCTAACTATTGTAGAATTTTCTACTTATAGGCATCAAGTAAAGATAATGCAACAGAATACATCCAAATTGTTAATTAGTTTTTTTCACTTACAAGTGGTATGGTATTTTTGCCAGCCATTACTGAACCATGTGGCACAAAGGCAATTATGAAGCTGGGGTACTTCCATTCAATAAATTTGGAGTTAGAAACTAATCTTCTGCCCAGGATAGGTAGAGCACAACTTACCCGAGGTCCCTGATCACCTTGTTCTCCCTGTAGAATAGAAAGGTGAGAAAGCAGTTTTAGCCAAAATGTATACATGATGCTCATTAAAAAGATCAAAATATAACACAGTATAGGTCATGCCAATATGGATCTCCACTAACTTTATTTCTGGTATGCATTTTCTTACCTTATCACCTTTTGGACCAGGAGGGCCCTGAATTCAAAAAAGATATTGTAAACTGAATAGATCAGTCAGGTTAGTCAAAAGATTCATTCAAAGAATACAGAGATAGCTGTCAATGAGGTTTCACAAGAAATTCTGGTTTCTAAACTATGATCATATTAGAATGTGAAACATATAACCATATATGTTTGTTCATATATACCTGTACATATCATGTCATAAGTACATAATATGCTGAATAAATTTTCACGAACTCAACACATATATGCAAGTAGAACCCAGTTAAAGAAACCGAACATTACTTACAAGTTAGAAGCTCCTGTTGGGACATTTCCTTGTCACTACCCTCCACCAACAGTAACCACTATTCTGACCCCTGACAATATAGATTAGCTTGCCTGTTTTTGTACTTTATGTACATAAAATCACAGAGTCTGGCCTCTTTTGCTTAATTAGTGTGAAATTCATCCATAATTTTGTGTGTAGTGGTAGATTGTTCTTACTGCTTTATAATACTCCACTGTGTGAATATATCATCATTTACTTATTCATTCTACTGTTGGCAGCCATTTGTTTCCAGGAATTTCTAGGTCTTGGCTATTATAAAAATATTGTTATGGCCAGGTGCAGTGGCTCATGCCTGTAATCCTAGCACTTGAGGAGGCCAAATCAAGTGGATCACCTGACATCAGGAGTTCAAGACCAGCCTGGCCAACATGGTTGAAACCTCATCTCTACTAAAAATACAAAAATTAGCTGGGTGTGGTGGCGCATGCCTGTGATCCCAGCTACTTCGGAGGCTGAGACAGGAGAATCGCTTGAACCTGGGAGGTGGAGGTTGAGGTGAGCCGAGATTGTGCCACTGCATTCCAGCCTGGGCGACAGAGCAAGACTGTCTCAAAAAAAAAAAAAAAAAGGTGCTACAAACATAGTAATTCACATTTTTTGTGAAAAATTATATTCCTTTCTGCTGGGTGTATATCTAGAAAAGGAACTGTTTAGGTTATAGACTACACATATGTTCAGTTTTAGAAGATGCTACCAAATGGTTTTTCAAAGTGATTCTTACCATTTAAGCCCCGTCAGTGATGTACAGAATTTCAGTTGCCCCATATTACCAATACTTGATATTTTTTATCTTTTTCATTTTAGGCATTCTGGTGGTGACGTAGTAATTTCGCTTCATGTTTTAATATGTATTTACCCAGTGATCAGTAAATTGAACTCCCTTTTAATACACTTATTGACCATTTTACATCCTTTTCCATAGTGTCTCTTCATACCTTTTGTCCTTGGCCTACTGAATCGTCCTGTTGATTTGCTAGAGTTCTTTATCTATTATATATTATACATTGTACATATGTATGTAGGTAGATGTAGAGTTATTTATATATTTTGAATGAGTCTTTTGTCAGATATATTTACTGCAAATATATCTTCCCACTTTGTTTACTGCCTTTACATTCTCTTAGAGGTGTTTTTGATGAATACCTCTGAGTTCTTAATTTTAATAAAACTCAATTTAACATTTTTTATCCTTTATAGTTGTCCCTTTTTATATTCCACTTGAGAAATCTTTGCCTACTTCAATGTCATAAAGAGGGCTATGTTTAGTTTAAAAGCTAAAAGCTTCATTATTTTATCTTTCATATTTAAATCTGAATTTATTAAGAACTGATTTTGTGTATGATGTTAGGTAAAAGTCAAGATGTTTTTTTAAAATGTGGATATCAAATTAACCAAACACCATTTCTTGAAAATGTACCTTTTCCCCATTATAGTACAGTATTACTTTTGTCATAAGTTAAGTGATGCTATACATGTGGCTTTTTACAGGAATTTCTATTTTGTTGGGCAGTTGTCTATTCCTGGGCCTCACTGAGATCTTCTTTACCTTTGAACAGAAATACTAATGCTAGAGGCACTGATTATGTTATCTTTTCTAGCTCTTAAAGATAAAGTCATGTTTTGGTTTCAGCCCACCTGAGGAGCTGGAGCATTTCAGAGTCACCTTCTCTCACCTCCATTTTCAGCAGGGCTGAGGAAAAAGGACAAGGCTGGACAGGAAATGGGCCCAAGTTCTAGCAAAGTACCCCATCCTAGGTGCCAGTGGAGACTCTATGTCACTGCAGGTGGGAATGTAGTAATGCTCCACCTTCCAAAACATTTCCTTCTGCTAAGTACCAGCTACAGAAGAACTGCACCAAATTCTCATTCTCAGTGTGGCCCTTCTGGTAACAGCTGTGAAATTATCATAAAATTACTAATAACTACACCATGTCCTATGCTTTGTATCTTTTACCATTGATAAAAAACTTTTGCACCTGTTATTGCATTTAATCTTTTCCACAATCCAATGAGGAAAGTATTATGAAAATCCTTTTACAGACACCAAAAATGAAACTCAAAGACTATCAATGTTAGGCTTCTTGTGAGTTAGCCAGGACTTTAACCCAGTATGTGTAACTTTGAATGCAGAGGTTTTGACACAAAGTATTGGAACACAGCTCTGGAACTAGAGTCTCAGAAAGAAGGATACCTATCTGGTGCCTGCCTTCAACAAGGGCCATCTAAAATGCCTCCCACTGCATTTTCCATAGTGTCACAGACACTGGTCGCAACGTCTCAAGTTCAAAATGAGAGAAAGGAGAATTGAGGAGGAGTGAGGAGGGGGAGAAGGGACTAAGATAATGGAATCAACGTTATAAAACCTTTTTATCTCTTACCCCCAAAATCATTTTGCCATTTAAAAGAGGAAAGAGAAAAAATTTTGTTTTCAATAAATTTTTAACATTTTTATTGTTTTCCGTGAATCAAGTAGTAATTAGTGAGTACGGTCTGTGTGTTCATCTCTGGAAAATTAAGTTTAAGGACTTCATTCAATTATTTTTAACAAATGCAAAATGCTTACTAAGGTTATACAAGTAGCATTTTATTTGCGGTGGGGCAGATGAAAGCCAAAGAAAAGAATAATGAGAGGATATCACCAAATTTAAAAAATACAATCGAGGTTCTAGTCTTGATTTAAGCAGCATATTAGTTAACTTTATTTTGATTTGTACACACATTTGTTGAATGTCTATACAGTGTGGCAACATTGTAAGCACTGGTGGGACACATATGTTGGGAAAGGTTGATTTGGAAAGACATGGTCCCTGTCCTGGAAAAGCTAAATAGCCTAGTGTCTAAGGCAAACAGTTTCCACATACTAGCATTAAGAATAAATGACCTCCAGAAAATTCAGCTACATCAAGGTCAACTGTTACTATGGACATCTCCCCAGCCTCCATATCCACCCCCTTCCCAGGTTTCTCTTTAAACTTTTGTTTGCTTTTGCCAGTGAGATTTCAGAGGCCACATCTCCCATTGTACCAGTCCTCTAAAGGCACCTTGTTAGGTTACACAGCATCTTTAAGGACAAAGTTTTTGTGAAGTTATTTGACAGGAACAGAGGCAACCCTTTTCCTCAAAGTCCAATTACTCATGCCAAATCCACGTGTCAACTAGAGCTCTTTAGCCAGCTTACCCTGAGCAAGGATGCTTAATTCATGAACACATGAAAATTTGCACCCACAATTGAGCAATAAATATTGCTGCCTCAAAAGAGGGTGTTTCTGAGCAGACAGTATGGCGTCCTGGCACCTGCCAGCTTAGGACAGAAGCAAAGCTGAGGTCAACCTCCACACACAGCTGCAGGGGCTGCTTCGGACGCTCCAGCCCCCACTTGTGCACTTGGGATTAACAGCAGGTGTTTTCTTCTGCTCTGACTGAAATCCCACTCTTCTTTCTGAATTGGACCCTCTTCACTGAAAATATGGGTTGAATTTGCAGAACAAAGTGGGCTACCTTAGTAAACACAGATAGTATAATATTTCCAAAATTTAGAAGCCATACTTTTTTTCTAGGACAAAAAATTACAAATGAAAGAAAGGTTTATTTGATCATTAGCCTTTAAAATTAAAATTGGGGTATTAATGATTTTTTTCTACCTTTAGCATTAAAAAAAGCTAACTAGTATTAACTAAAGGATAGGCAGCAATAAAAATTAATGGCTATTTGAATTACAAATTATTTTTCAACGGCACATTGCTGTTTCCAACTAAACCAAGCTCAACAATCTAATATTTAGTAGACATATTTATTGTTCAGGTGACAGTACCAATGGCTGGTTGGTAACTATTCGATGATAAAACTTTGTTGCTCCAACAAGGTTAGGGTCAATGGAAGGGAAAGATGGTAAAATCAGCAGTCATAGGGAAGTGAATAGTGAGTCACAGTTCTATAGAAGGCCCTTTTGGGGACTCTTGTCCTGGTTTGGTCTAGAATCCAATAGTCAGGTCTTTTATAAGCCCCACTTTAATAAATAAGTAGGAATATTTGAAATGATCTTTTGAATTACTTGTGTGTAATGAATCCTAAAGTTAATTGCAGAAATAAGTACTTAAGGGTGCTAATAAAGTTTTTATTTATTATTGTTGTTAGTAATTAGAACGTTTATTTTAGGGCATTGTTGGAATGTTATTAACTTCCTACCAAAGGATTTATAAATTTTCATGGCAAACTTCAAATTAGCCCCTGTTCAAATGGCTTTACATTCAGAATCTGCAGGAACCACCCTTCTATTTGTAAGAAGTCTTTAATGTGGGTTTTGGCCTATACCAATTTAAGTCTCCTCAAACCTACTTCTGTTTAAGTAACCAAGGTTTTAGCTTTTTTTCTATCCTCTATTGTCTATTTCAATTAAATGATAAAACCAAACTGAAAACAAAGAGAGGCACAATGAATGACTTTCAGGAAAATATTGAATTTCAATCTACATAACAGCAATGGAAATACAGCTGGAAAAGAGAGATATATTCACAGGCCCGGAGTAACCCAATCATGGTCCTTTATTTACTGGAAGTATAAATTATACTTGCTTTGAACCAGAAAAAATCAAGGCGGGAATAGTTTTTAAAAGATGACAATCATGAAAACAAAATTAAACTGTGCTTGAGGTAGAAAAAAGTGGAAAAGGAGCAAACATTGGG